ATGGGATTTTGTGTATTTTTTACTTCCCCTCTTTATTGTTTATTTATTTTTTAAGACAGAGCCTCAAGCTGTCCCCTTGGGTGGAGTGCTGTGGCATCACAGCTCACAGCAACCTCCAACTTGTGGGCTCAAGCGAGTCTCCTGCCTCAGCCTCCCAAGTAGCTGGGACCACAGGCGTCCTCCACACCTCCCAAGTAGCTGGGACCACAGGCGCCCTCCACAATGCCCGGCTATTTTTTGGTTGCAGCCATCATTGTTGTTTGGCAGGCCCGGGCTGGATTCGAACCCACCAGCTCAGGTGTATATGGCTGGCACCTTAGCCTCTTGAGCCACAAGCGCCGAGCTTTTATTGTTTATTTTTAAGGTTGGCTGGTTTTTTGTAGTAGTAAGGCTTGATTTTTTTCGCATTTTCCTTTGTGTATTGAGTCTAACAGTGTGTTTTATAGATTTGTATGTTTTCATGATGGTGGTTATCATCTTTTTACTTCCAAATATGACTCCCTTGAGAATTTCTTTCCTTCTTTTTTCTTTTTTTTTTTTTTGCAGTTTTTGGCTGGGGCTGGGTTTGAACCTGCCACCTCCAGCATATAGGGCCAGCTCCCCACTCCTTTGAGCCACAGATGCTCTCCACCCTTGAGAATTTCTTGTAAGCCTGGTCTAATGGTGATAAATTCCCTTAGTTGTTGGTTGTCTATAAAAGACTTTATCTCTCCTTCATTTGCGGAGGATAGCTTTACAGGGTATACTATTCTTAGGTGGCAGTTTTCTTTCTTGGAGTACGTGTGTCATCTTGTTCTTTCCTGGCCTATAAGATTTCTGCCAGAAAATACGTTGTAAGTCTAATGGAGAGTCCTTTATGTGTAACTTGACATTTTTCTCTTGCAGCTTTTAAAATTTTTGCATTGTCTTTAATTTTGACAATTGGACTACAGTGTGCCTTGGAGAGAACGTCAGGGTTGAATCATTTGGAGTTGCGTGACCTTAATATTTGTGTCTCCCAAGACTTGGGAAGCTTTCTACTACTATTTCATTAAATATGTTTTCTAACCTTTTCCCCTTTTGGGGGCCTGAGGGATCACATTTTGGGGAGTCCTTTTCCCTTTTCTTCTCTTTTTGGAACACCCATAATACATTTTTTTTTTCTCTGAATGGTGTCCCGTACATTGTGTAGGATAAGGTGTTCAACCTTTTTGTTTTTAATCTGCCACACACTGGAAGAATTAGAGTTGTCTTGAGCCACACATTAAATACAAGAGTCCTAAGGAAAGCTGATTAACAACCAAAAAAAAAAAGATCTGTGCATACTTGTGATATCTGACACCACAGGTAGGCAAAAAATGTCCACACAAAAGGTTAGGCCTCTCTACTGTAGGGTTTCTTCCCCTCTTCCCCCCTTCCTCACTCCCCTTCCCTCCTCTTCCTCACCCCCCCCCCTCCTCACCCTCTTGCCCTCCTTCTCTTCTCCTCTGACTATATTATCTCAAAAGACAGTCTTCAAGTTTGGAAATTCCTCTGCTTCATCTAGTCTATTGCTTTCAACAGTAGACTTGATTGTAATTATTTATATTTTTTGTTTGGCTCATTGAATTGTTTACTTCTAGGATTTGTTTGGTTCTTTTAAATAATATCTGTCTCTTTTTGTTAAATTTCTCATTCAAATCATGCATTGTTTTCCTGATCTAATTGAATGATCTACCTGTGTTCTTTTGTGTCTCACTGAGCTTCCTATTGTTTTGAATTCTTTTGCTGGCATTTCATGTATTTCCTTATAATACCATGTTTCCTCGAGAATAAGACCTTCCCCCAAAATAAGCCCTGGCAGGATTTCTATGCATTTGTTAAATACAAGCCCTACCCCGATAATAAGATCTAGTGATAGGCTGCACAGCCAGGCCAAGCATTTCGGAGCTGAGCGGTAAGGAAGACTGGAATGCCTTTTATCTGCCACAGCTCCTTTCTCCAAGCCGTTTGCACTTGGGTGGGTGCGCATGTGGTAACCACGGTTGCAGCATCCTATTGCGCACGTGTGAATGGCTAGGGGAAAAAACGTTCACGGGTCACTAGTGCAGCCCCACCAACAAGGTCGGCTCCCCCATCAGGTTCCAGAAGAAGATGACTTAACTGTATTTGAATAAATGTAGATTGTTGTATTATACTTAATAAAAATAAGACATCCCCTGAAAATAAGCCCCAGTGTGTCTTCTTGAGAAAAAATAAAGGTAAGACAGTGTCTTATTTTCAGGGAAACCCGGTAGGGTCTGTTATTGAAGATTACTGTTTTCCTTTGGAGGTGACATGTTTCCCTGCTTTTTCAGGGTTAATGTGTCCCTGCACGGAGTAGCTGATTGCACTTCTAATGGAAAGTCACCTTTTCTAATTTTATGGAGTGGGTTTATAGGGAGTGTCTACTCACATGAACGAGTCTTAGGGTGCTTGTTGTGTTGCCCTTGGTCCCAGATGGAGACACTGCACTCTCCATGTCGTTTCCTCAGCTGTAATTCATACTAGTGGTGTTTTGAGTTTCTTACTGACCTAGGATGAGAGAATTTGTGGCAATGGTGGTGTGTGTGGCTTTGCTGGGGGTGGGCTTGCTGGGCTATTTTTCAGATCATACACACATGCCAGTGGCCAAAGACCTGCATGTTATAGGAGGACGTAGAGTCCCCTCCCCTCGGCCCCAGCCTTGTCACGTTGCCCAGAGCAACACTGTGAGCTGGTGTGTCCTCTAAGGTGTTTCTTCCATGTGGTCCCAGACATGTGCACACGCATGTGCCTCTGGGTCCGGCAGGGTCTTTGCTGGCTGAGGTTTCTAGTTGAGCCTGGGCCAAGCTGTGCTGTTCTGTCTGCCCCGTGGCAGGGCCTGACTTGACAGCCTCCAGGCTGGGCACCTCGGTTGTCCCACTATTGTGCCATTAGCTCTGCCAGGCTGCACAGAGCTCCTGCCCTAGGAACCCGTCTGTCTGGAAGAGAAACTTTGGGCAGCTGGTTGCAGGCCCCAGGCTGGCATGTTTACAGTGGAAATCTTTCTCCAAATCTCTTGTACAAAGCTTTCCTGGCTGTTCTTGCTGACAGTGACTCCGAGGTTTTGTTTCTGTGCACATGCTCGTCAGGGTTGGGAGTTACTGATCTTGTTAATCTTGTTAATCGATGCCAGTCGCTGGGTGGAAGTGGCATCTCATGGGCTCCATTCTGAGTTCCTTGATTAGTAGGGAAGCCGAACATCTATTTTGAAGTTAAGATGCTACTTGTATATCTTTTTCTTTGAAGCACCTGTTTTTCTTCAGGGAAGTTCATTTTGTGTGGTCTTCTTGTTACTGATATTCGTGGTTGTTGGGGTTGTTTATATTGGAATCACTTGTAACCCAGCCCCCTTGTGCTTGCCTAGCATGGTGACGGAGTGCACTGGGCCTTCTCAGCCCAATCCAGGCTGGCAGGGTTCAGCTTACTCAGGGCTGTGCTCCGTTTCCTGGTCCTGACAGCCTTGCCCTTCTCCACTGCCAGCTTTGTCCCCGGGTTAGAGGGAGAAGGGGACAGTAGTCTGTGTGGGAACATGTCAGGAATTCTGTAGGCAGGCCCTGGACGCATCTGTGCTTCTTACTGATTGCCACATCCCTGAGCCAGTCACTGGGGCCACGGGAAACACGGTTCTGACTGGATTAGGCTAATCAGGGCTGACCCCCAGCTAGGATTATGTTGGGAGGCTGCAAGCTCTGGATCCCTATTGAAAGAAAAAATCCACTGCCCAGAGGAGTGGTCCCTGTGTGTTAAGGATCTTTCCCAGCTTTTATATTTTGTCTGTAATTTTGTGTGTGTGTGTGTTTGTATGTATGTATCTAAGTAGAAATTTAGAGGATTGGTTATCAATTCTGAGTCATGTGAATGAACTTCTTTAATTCCTGAGTGCTCGTATGTCTAGGTGCTGGGGACTGAAGGGGAACAAGGGTGGCATGGCCCCTTCCCTGCAGAACTTACAGAGGAAGAGAAGGATGGTGATCAAACTGGGCCCTGGAAGAGGGAACAGAGTAGGGATGTGGGGAGCAGGTGTCCAGGGCAGGGAGCAGAGGAATAGAGACCCTTTTCCTAGGGCCTTGGGAAAGGGTCTGTGCAGGTGAGGCCAAGAGAAGGTTCTGTATGGGAAGCTGGGCTTGAGATGGCACCACCTGGACTGTGTTTTTGAATAGTGGGTCGCTGAGACCCAGGTCTGGAAACAGGGTGGCCTCGAAGGGTGTTGGAATCCACTTTGTGCTGCTGTAAGATAACACCGGATACTACTGATACGTGGAGAGGTTGATTTGCTACAGCTTCTGTGTCCCGAGCAGTTCGAAGGCCAGGCCTTGGCTTCTGTACGGCATCAGGGCCAGAGGGGAAGTGGACATGTGTAAACCGGGGAACCCTGAGGGGCGTCCCAGCTTCTAACTACCCTCAAAAGTCCTACCTCCCCAACATTGCGGATCAGATTTCAACATGAGATTTGGTGGGGGCAGAAACACTCTCCAGACCATTGCAAGGCGGGGCACAGGGCTCAGGTGCTTGGTGTGTTGGGTGATGGTCCTGAACAGGCCTGATTCTGGAGGCAGACCACTGGCCAGATGGTGTCTGGACAAGAGAAGTGTCAGGAGACCCCTGGGGTGCTGTTGAGAGAGGTGCCCACCCCGGAGGAAACAGGAGGAGCTCTGGTAGGAGAGGAAAGCATGACAGCCTCCCTCTTAGAGCTGTGCAGTCTGAGGTGCCACTGACGCCCTAGCGATGTGTCCGGGCCGATGTGCTGATGTGGGCACGGGAGGGAGGGACTGACGTTTGGCCTGCCTGTCATTTCTGTCTGATTCTCCCCCTGTGGTGGGAGGCTGGGCTGCCCAGCCCTGTCCCGCACATGTGAAGAAACCGTGCCCTGCCAGGGAGGACTTCAGAGCAAGGCCGGCTCAGCCCTGCACTTGGGGACTGTTTCCTTCCTGATGCTCACTGGCTCCTCCTGAGATCTGACCCTTTGTCTGCTTTTGTAGACTCTGAGAACAACCTTTCTGCGGGGGCCCCAGAGGAAGCCCTGGAGTGTGGGGGAGAGCTGAAGGAGGAAGGGAGCTTGTACTGTTCCCCTGGGTCAACTGACTATCAAGAAAACCCAGACGAGCCCTGTTCTGACGGCCCCTGGACCGTCCAGAAGGTAAGTGTGCTGCCCTGCTTCTTGTCCCCTGCCCTCGCTCTGTGCAGAAGGCTTCCTGGTGCAGTTTCTTCAGTGGCTCAGCAAGACTGGCTCTGAGTCTGCCTCACTGGTCCCTGTGTCCCCACAGCACTTTCTCTGGGTCAGCCTTGCTGCACAGCTGGCTGAATGCCACTGTAACACAGCCTGCCTCCCAGAAGCAGAGCAGCCCCTTCTGTGTCTGATGAGTCTCTGGGTCCCAGATCCTCTGGAGTCTCCACCTCCCTTTTCCTTGCACCGGATCAATACCTGTGTGTTTTCCAGAAGCTGGGTATGGGGGGCCCTGAGCTTTGGCCACACGTGTGTCCCACCATTCTCTGTGTCTCTTAGTGACAAGGGTGCAAGCCTGAGGTGCCTTGAAGCTTTGTGTGTAGAGCGGAAAATGCTCTGGCTGGTGGGATGCCCTTCCTGGAAGGCTGGGGCTCAGCCCTCTGTGTCTCCCCTGGCCTCCAGCAGCCCCATAAACATATTAGACGCCAAGAGGATGCCTCCTGAGTGAGGGAACTACTTGGAGCACTCAGGGAGGCTTCCGAGGGGAGTGTCCTTGTCCTGCTCAGGAGAAAGATGAGGAAACAAGGGCTCCTGTGCCCAGGCTTAGCCCTGTGGATACCCAGGTGGCTATGTCCAGCTGCCGGGTTTCCTGCTGGCTACTAAAAAGTAGAAGTTTTCTTTCTTTTCTTTTTTTCCTTTCTTTCTGGGTTGGGGCTGGCTTTCTGTCTGTTGTTCTTTGCAGGTGGTACTCCATGGTTGGGCTGGGGTAGGAGGTGATACGGTGGGCAGTGCTCTGAGAGGTGTGTCTGTGTGTGCTTCATTCCCTTGAAAAGTAATCCTTTCAAGAGCAGGGAAGGTCAGGCCCAGTTCTGGTCCAGGTGGGATAGTAAAAGTTTAGATAAACCCTTTTTACACCTAAGTTGGGACTTTCTCATGGCAGAAAAGGGGCTAAATGGAGGTGTTTCTTGAAAATGTTGACTGCAAATGAATAAGCTACTGGCACCTGGGGCAAAGGAATATATTTGGGGCTAACAACCAACCTGCCAAAAGCCTGGAAGGAAAATCTAAGGGGAGAGTTACTTGGCGGAGTTAGATTTCAAAACGGTTCCTATATATAGTGGAGAATCCGAGCAGCTACAGAAATGCCAAGAGCGGCCTGCGTTCTCTGAGACCTTCTGCTTTCACCTGACCTTTAGGCTCAGTGTAGGCAAGACGTGAAGGCTAAGGCAGGTTGCAAACAGTCGGGAAGTGTCGGAGGACGCCTCAGCACAGAGCCAGTCTACAAAGCCTGGGAGAGTATTTTTTTCCTTTTGCCTTTTTCATACTGTGGCTCTAGGTGTTTAAGGAAATCTCCGCCAAACCCCTAACTGGCAGCAAGCTAAAGGAACAGAGACTTTGGAAAGCACACACAACAAGGAATAGCCTTTCATAGTCTTACTGGCCTGGTATGGTGGTTACCGCCTGTAATCCTAGCACTTTAGGAGATGAAGGTGGGAGGCTAGCTTGAAGCCAAGAGTTTGAGAGCAGCCTGGGCAAGAGTGAGACCCCATCTCTACAAAAAGTAGAGGTCTAAATAAATAAGGGGGTGGGTACACTCTTTGTTAAGACGTCAGTTTCCTGCTTTCCTTTGGCTCTTTAGGCATATTTAAGACAGTTGTTTTAAGTCCCTCTCTGCTAAGCCCAATGTCTGTGCTTCCTCACCAACACTTTCTATTAATTTCTTTTTTTACTATGGATGTACTATAATTTTTTATGTCTTTGCAAGTTTCATAATTTTTGTCTAAAACTAAACATTTTGAATATAATAATATGGTAACCATGGAAATCATTCTTCCTCTAATCAGGGTTTGATGTTGTTGCTTGCTGTAGATTGTAGTTGTGCGTTTAGTTACTTTTTAAACTATTTCTTAACGAGTATCTCTCAATACCACAAGAAACTCTATGCCCAGAAATTTGACAATGTGAAGGAAGTGGATCAATATTTGAAAACACACCCTCTTCTAACACTTAGCCAGGAAGAAATAGAGCTCCTAAACAGACCAGTTTCAAGCACTGAGATCAAAGAAACAATAAAGAAATCTTCTGACAAAAAAATGTGGTCCAGATGGCTTCACACCAGAATTCTGTCAAACTTTCAAGGAAGAGCATATTCCTGTACTACAGAAATTACTCCAAAAAATTAAGGAGGAAGGAATCTTCCCCAATACGTTCTATGAAGCAAACATCACTCTGATACCAAAACCAGGAAAAGACCCAACTAAAAAAGAGAATTTCAGACCAATTTCACTCATGAATATAGATATAAAAATTCTCAACAAAATCCTAGCCAATAGATTACAGCTCATCATCAAAAAAGTCATACATCATGATCAAGTAGGTTTCATCCCAGGGATGCAAGGCTGGTTTAACATATGCAAGTCCATAAACGTTATTTACCATATCAACAGAAGCAAAAACGAAGACCATATGATCCTCTCAATAGATGGAGAAAAGGCATTGGATAAAATCCAGCATCCTTTTCTAATTAGCACACTGAAGAGTATAGGCATAGGTGGCACATTTCTTAAACTGATCAAAGCTATCTATGACAACCCCATAGCTAATATTTTACTGAATGGAGTAAAACTGAAAGCTTTTCCTCTTAGAACTGGAACCAGACAAAGTTGTCCCCTGTCACCATTACTATTAAACATAGGGCTGGAAGTTCTAGCCAATATGATCAGGCAAGACAAGGAAAAAAGGGGCATCTAAATGATGCATTTAGGGCATTGACAGACGCATATAGAACACTCCATCCCAAAGATAAAGAATATACATTCTTCTTATCGCCTTATGGAATATTCTCCAAAATTGTTCATATCCTAGGACACAAAACAGACCTCAACAGAATCAAAAGAAATATCCAAAATTAAATCAGAGATCAATGAAATTGAAAGGAGGGAGCAGAGGAGGTCACACTCTCCCTCTTTGCTGACAATATGATCTTATACTTAGAGAACTCCAAAGACTCAACTATAAGACTCCTGGAAGTCATGAAAAAATACAGTAATGTCTCAAGATATAAAATAAATGTCCACAAGTCAGCAGCCTTTGTATACGCCAATAACAGCCAAGATGAGAGGCTAGCTAAGGACATGACTCTCTTCACCATAGCTTCAAAGAAAGTGAAATACCTAGAAATATACCTAACAAAAGAGGTGAAGGACCTCTATAAAGAAAATTATGGAAACCCTAAGAAAGGAAATAGCAGAGGGTATTAACAAATGCAAGAACATGCCATGCCCATAGCTGGGAAGAATCAACGTTGTTAAAATGTCTATACTTTCCAAAGCAATCTACCAATTCAATGCCATCCCTATTAAAGACCAACATCGTACTTTCAAGACTTGGAAAAAATGATTCTGCGTTTTGTATGGAACCATAAAAAAAACGTATAGCAAAGGCAGTTCTTGGTAATAAAAACAAAGCTGGGGGCATCAAAATACCCGATTTTAGGTTGTACTACAAAGCCATAGTGGTCAGGACAGCATGGTACTGGCACAAAAATAAGAACATAGACATTTGGAATTGAATAGAAAACCAGGAAATGAAGCTAACATCTTACAACCACCTAATTTTCGATAAACCAAACAAGAACATACACTGGAGGAAAAGACTCTCTATTCAGTAAATGGTGCTGGGAGACTGGATATCCACATAAGTAAAGACTGAATCTGAGCCCACACCTTTCTCCACTCGCAAAAATTGATTCAAGATGGATAAAGGACTTAAATTTAAGGCATGAAACAATAAAAATCCTCAAAGAAAGCATAGGAAAAACACTGGAAGATATCAGCCTGGGGAAAGACTTCATGAAGAAGACTGACTGCCCTGGCAACTGCAACAACAACAAAAATAAACAAATGGGACTTAATTAAACTGAAAAGCTTCTATACAGCTAACAAGACAACAACAAAAGCAAATAGACAACCTACACAATGGGAAAGGATATTTGCATAGTTTGAATCAGAGAAAAGCTTAATAACTAGGATCTATAGAGAACTCAAATTAATCCACATTAACGAAAGCCAACAACAATCCCATATGTCAATGGGCAAGGGACATGAATAGAACCTTCTCTAAAGAAGACATAGGCTCGGCGCCTATGGCTCGGCCGGCTGAGGCGCCAGCCGCGTACACCTAAGGTGGCGGGTTCGAATCCCCAGCCCGGATCCGCCAAACAACAATGATGGCTGCAACCAAAAAATGGCCGGGC